ATGTCAATAAATACAACAAAAAACAATAAAAATAGATTTCACTGAATAACAAATATATAACTAATATATTTATTATAGGATGTGGACAACATTTCCTTAAATATTTTTTCTCAAATGAGCAATTTCCGTGTTTGTCTATTTTCTTGAAGAACTGTTTGCAAATTATTGTTTTTTTCAATGGCTTTATGCCGTTTAACATTACTACTAAAAACACACTATTAAAATGGCTGGAAACAGCACGTCGACCCATATTGCTTAATTCAAATGTTTTATAACATAAACAACAATGTGTCTGATATTTATTTTTTTCTACCGACTTCAAATACTTTTTCCACTGTACTGGAGCAAGTTTTTCATCAATCCAGTTGTAATTAAATGTCGTTTTTCGTTGAGACATTTTTCTAACCTAAAAAATGAAAAAATAAAATACATACTACAATTAATATATTTTCAGCTTTTTATTACCTTTTATAAACAGCACGTAAATTGTAGAAAAAGTACATACAGAACGTACAGATCTTTTTTCTATGAAAACAAATTTGTTTATAGTGTTTTGTAGAATTCAGAAATACAAGCTATAATTTACTACAATTTGTAAATCGTAAAACAGACAGCACAATCACCACGCAATTTATCTTTATCCTTTTTTACATACCCGCTCACAACGTTCTCTCTCACTGGTATGCACTCCAGATATATCCTTTTCTTTCTATTGATTTACGAGTACGTGTGATTAAAACAGATAGAAATAGGCAACTGGGTGCGTTCAATAAATAAAGAATTTAGACGCGGCGTGAGTGGCGTTCAGAAATTTTCCCTGACGACATTAAAAATTCCCTGATTTTTGACGAATATTGGCACTTTCCCTGACACAGCTCAAATTCCCTGACATTTCCAGGTTTTTCAGGTTTTCCCTGACGCTGAGAACCCTGGAAAAGGAGTTTTGAAAAAATCAAACTTTTGAGTGATTTCAGATCCGCTGATGAATATTTTACCATCTATACATTGAACATCTATCATTTGAAATATTTCATTTTTGTGTGTAAGAAACCATTTATCGCAGTTTTTTGGGGACAGCATGAAACCATTTTTTAAGTTAACATTTTTTGTCTTTTTTACACATGGAAATTTTGTATTATTAATTTTAGGTAAAAACTGCACTTTTGACATTTCACTTAGCCATTTGGCTATTTGTGCTAGTGGCTTGTTTCCATGCCTTAAATACATTTTTATTTGACCTAAATGATTTTCAAAAGGGTAAGCACTAAATGAGGGTAATGGGCCAAATTTTTTAACATCTTCGGCTAAATGACAGAGGTTATGTACGTTACTACTAACAGAATCAATTCCATAATGTTCGATAAACTTTTCTATATATTCTTTCAGTAGTTTATCCGCAATATTCAAATATTTTAAATAATTTTCGAAGCTGTAAATTGTTACAGCACATGAGAGCATTAAAAAAATGACTATAAATATTGGGTGGTAAAAAGTCTCAATACAACGGGACCCAAATAAAACAAAAATGATCTAAATTCGGTACCCTTCCAAAATTTGATTGAATCAAGACTCCTTACGGCTCTATGGATTTCATTTGGCATTTGATTGTTGCATTCTTTTAGTAAAATTGAAATTGAGTTTATATCGTTGGCCGAGAGTTTGGTCCTGAAGTTGTAACTTCCTTGAATCCAGCCAATAAGGCATCTTTTTGTTATGCCCAAATCAATTAAATGAAGTGAATCTGCAACAAGAAAGTCAGCTATCAAATCAATAGGCAACCTTTCTAAAGGTGTGTCTTCTTTATGATGATCAGGATCTGTTCTATTCCGAAAGCTATGATCAGTTCTAGCTGGCAAAACTATTCTCGGATAGCTCATGTGCCTTCCATCTCGATAATATTCGCCAATACAGATACATTTTGTACATCCATGGTAGTGGTTGAAGTTAACACTACCTAAAAAAGAAAATATTTTATGTAGGTATATGTAGTGTTTCCACGATAAAATTTACCTTTAATAAATGACCTTGCAGGTGTATCACAAATAAAACATCTAATTTTGATTAACAGTTTATATCCATTTACTTCTATTCCATTTTGTAAAACTTCACTAAACTCGTCAACAAATGGTGTCAAAAATTGTTGCAAATTTGGTTTGCTTTCTCCATGGTAAATCGCTATTATCAATGGATTTATACCAGATATATTGTCAATTTTACAGAGAATAGGCCAAAATTCTGACTTTGCACTATTGCAAATTGGAAGTCCGTCAATATTGAAACTCAGTAATAAATGAGATGTATCGACAAAATTAAAATTTTTTAGTTGGTTTATAACACATACTTTTAGCCCATTATACCAATATTGTCCTAACACCATTGGAGTAACACTGACGTTCACTAGAGTTTCAAGTAAAGTTCTACTGTCTTGAGGCAGATAACTATGAGAAGATTCTCTTAACAAGCGAAGGAGTTCATTTAAAGCACAATGGATAATTTTATTTTTAAGTGCCCAGATTTTTAAACTTTCCATAAATGACATTTTGGAGTCCAGGTCGTTTTCTTCGCTATGTTCGCCATCATCGTAGTCAATTGAGTTATGTTCTGATGCATTATCGTCGTCCATTGAATCATATTCCTCATCGTCATCTTCAGTTTTAAAATTTATTTCAGATGAAATATGTATTGGCTGAGGATATGTTAACAAGTTTGATTCAGGACACCAATCTAAATTATTTGAGCTCTGCTGTTTTTCGTTGTTTTTGTTGTTAAATATATATATCAAATTTGAAAATTCCCGCTGTGCTCTGCCAGCGCCACCGGTTATATGTGTGTAAACATTACTTGTATGTATAAAGTAAAATACAAAAATATATATATAGGCCAGTCTGTGCTGAACTCGAAGAGTGTTTTATTTAACTTTACGATAACGGGTTATGGGTCCAGAACAACGTGTTTAACCAGTATTGTTAATTTCGTTGAGCTTTTCGGTTTTTCGATCGCGCAAGTATGGCTAGTAATCTAATCGCGAGTGTACCTAAATTATTAGGACGTGANTAACAAGCGAAGGAGTTCATTTAAAGCACAATGGATAATTTTATTTTTAAGTGCCCAGATTTTTAAACTTTCCATAAATGACATTTTGGAGTCCAGGGGCGGGATTTTGTGTACTATGGAATTCTACAATTTATTCCAATTTGTCGATTTTGGTATTATGTACGTTGATTTAGCAATTGTCGCCGACTTAAAACTATCGCCTAGTTGCGACACATTTATGTGTGTTGAGAAGACAAGGATATTACTGATTAAAAAAGGGCAGTTAAATATTTGCTGTAAGTTAGTGGATAGTTTCTGTATTTATTATTAATCTATGATGGAAGTTGGATGATTGTCTATGGTGGACGATAGTGGGAAAAAGGAAAAGTGCGGTTGTGGTAGAGTTTTATTTTCTTTAGTAATTAATTTTTTATTAATAATACAACTACATTGATATATTAATAGATCACATTATTTTTTAATCGTATATGATTTGTTTTGTTCACACTTTTGAGATTTGGCTTCTACTGTACATAATTATGAGAGTTACTGCAGAACATTGGAAAGCATTTTTAGATCTCGCTGAAGAAAACAGTGAATTAATTACAAATAGATTTAATGGAGCAAATGGGCGACTCAAAATCAACGAGTTATGGAAGAAGACAACAAACATTTTAAATAGCTTAGGCTATGGTAGCAAATCAACCGAGGAATGGCGAAGGGTATGTAGTATGTTCCACTACTTAGCTTTTGAAATTAGTGGGTATATACATATATTAGGAATCTATTGACTAGAAATATTTAAAAAATGTGTATTGTGTACTATAATTTAATAAATTGACCTACAAGATACATTCTATTTTTTTAGGCCCTTACAGATTGGAAATGCAAAACTAAGGCAAAATGGTCGAAGGTACATAAGGAAATGGTAAAAACTGGTGGAGGAGAATACAAAAATATAATGCTGTCTGATAATGAACAAAGGCTTTTAAATCTCATGGGTAAAAAAAATGTTCAGGGTGATCCTGTTAAGGAGATAGGTTTGGAACAGGTTCGTCTTTGTTGCTGATTAGTACAGTGTTATTTATAACTTTTTAATTTTAGGGAGAATCACAACCAATCGAGTTTGTAGACCACGACTACATAGTTTATGATCTTGAAAATGGAGTTATGTATAATAGTGAAGAAAATGAAAACTTACCATCAACATCACGCAAAAGAATAAGAGATGAAATAGAACCTGCAGCTTCAAAAAAGCCAAACTATAAGCAGAAATGCTTGTCCCAACGGAGAAATGATAAATTTTGCAACAAATTATCTGATATGCAGTCAGACACAATGACCATTTTGAAGGAAATAAGTGCTAATATTAAGTCTATAGGTGACACATTTAATCAATTTTTAGATATTTATAAAAAGACATGTGAGGGAGGAAAATAATTTATAGAAAATAGTATTGGTACAGGGTCATAAAATTTGGACTGCACGATTTCATCGAAAATTTTGTAGAACATTCCTAGGTTTATTTAGCTAATGTGATGACTAGATGCGTACAGGTTTTTTAATTAATATACTTAGGAAGGTCGATTATGTAAAAAGAAAAATTGTAGAAATTGCGCATGTTACTCAAATTTTATAAATCTGTTCCATATTAAATTTGAACTTAAGAATTTTGTTACTTTTTGACTGAAACCGATGTAGGTTTTCCATATTAATGTTAGGATTATCATATAAGTTAACTTGAGAAATATTTTTTATTCATAAATCTGTTACTGTTTGTACGTATATAGTTCCTAGAGTTATTAATAAACATTCTTTGTATTTTTTTTATTTAAAGTTATTGGCCCTACCTTTTATCACCAAGATTTTTTTTTAGTAATATTGTAATATTGAGTGACTTGAATGTTGATATACTTGTATTAATTTTAATATATTTATTTGCATATAAGTTAAATAATCAGTACAATAAGAACCAGTATATTTAAATAATTGCAGAGAACACTAAATCAGTATAATTAATTAAAATATCTTTCAATCAAATCTGCTCTTGCTTGCATGCCACCAACATCGATGTGATTATTGAAATAGTCAAAATTATTGTGATTCTCAGGTAACAAGATTTCTTCCAAATTTTGATGACCAGACATACGTATATTATGAAGCACTGAACATGCAATTACAATATGACCCACTTTTTGTGGTTGATATCTCAATTTTCTTTCTGCCATCAGACATCGAAATGTGCCTTTCAATACACCTATACAACGTTCAATACAATTTCTTGCTCGCATTTGAGCTTGAGTATAAGCAAATTCTGGAGTGCCTGGTGCTGCATCAATAATTGGTGTCATTAGATAACATTGTTGTGGGTATCCAGAATCTCCAACAAGCCATGAGTTTCTATCTCCTAGAAAAGATAGATTATTTTTATATGGTTGCATTCTCGATAGACTTCTTGTAGTATTATGAATGATGTTCTTTTATCTAGAAACGATCGCACAAAAAATGATGTATTTATTAGAAATTATAATACCTAAATTGTACCATCTCTCCAATTCTTCCTGTATTATAGAATGCCTCCAAATAAAACTATCGTGTGTAGCACCAGCATGTGTAGCGTTAACATTTAATATCTTTAAATCATAGTCACAAATCTGTAAAATTATTATTACTCTTAGTTATACATAAACGCTTGTTTTATATGTTACTTACTATCTGAATATTTTTTGAATGAAAACCTTTTCTGTTCAAGTAATTGTGTTCTTCATCTTGAGGTGTAATTATAGCTATGTGTGTGCAATCTATAGCACCAACAGTACCAGGAAAATGTGTTTGACTCATAAATCTGCCTTTTATCCTATTTTTTTCTTCAGCAGTCCGAGGAAATTTAACCCAATTTCTTGACAACTCACCGATGGCCAGGCTAACTTCTTTGATGATGTTTGAAACAGTAGGTTGTGATACAGATAAATTATAACTCTGCCCAATGCAACTTTGATAAGAACCACTAGCAAAAAATCTTAATGCTACTAAAAGTTTCAGCAAGTTTGGGATAGCAATGACATTTTCTGTTTGATTTAAGTGTGGGCTTATTTCATTGTAAACATATTGCACCATTTCTTTACTTAGCCGAAACAAACCTATAAATTNAAACGCTGAAAAGCCAAACCACTGTTTGTTAGCTACATCAACCAAAGTGTCAGGTGTCACATGGCACAGAAGATTCGGACATATAAATTCTTCCGATTTAGTTAAAATGAAGAATGGTGCAGTAAATGGTATGGTATGTCATGGTGAGATTGATCGTGGCAACAGAAATTGTGTTGTTTGCTGCGAAGGCAAGCAATCGAGATTGCCGTTCAAACATCAAGGCACTAGGGCAAAATCCTTGCTAGAAGTAATACATACAGACCTCAGCGGACCCATGGAAACGAAGTCTATAGGTGGGTCTATCTAAATATTTTTTAATATTTGAGGATGATTTCAGCCGTATGCTATTTATTTATTTTCTGAACACAAAGGACCAGGTGCTCGAATGTTTTAAGGAATTCAAGAATCAGGTGGAAAATCAGAAAAACTGTCGAATAAAGATTCTAAGGTCAGATAACGGAGGCGAATACACCAGCAAAGAATTTCAGAGTTATTTACGCACAAATGGTATAATTCATCAAAGAACAAATCCGTATACGCCAGAGCAAAATGGTTTAAGTGAAAGGATGAACCGAACAGTAGTCGAAAAAGCGAGATGCTTGCTGTTTGATGCAGGCCTTGAAAAGAAATTCTGGGCAGAGGCCGTTAACACTGCCGTGTATCTAAAGAATCGAACTGTAAGTTCTGGGTTGAACGACAGAACACCTTTTGAGTTATGGAATGGTCAGAAACCAGAAGTGAGCCATATAAAAATCTTTGGAAGTCAGGTCATGACTCACATCCCAAAAATAAATAGAAGAAAGTGGGATAAGAAATCGGAGAAAATGTTACTTGTTGGTTTCGGTGACAACACCAAAGGTTATCGATTGTACAACCCAAGGACTAACTCGGTAATCATTAGTAGAGACGTAATAATCATGGAGAGTGAAGTAAAAGAAACGCAAATGTTAGTAAACGTAGGTGCGAGTACAGAAACAAATGAATCTACCAAAGTCACAGATCCAGTGGGGGCAAGTAATGAAACTATAGAAAAAGAAGATGTTTTTGAAACCTCCGGAGAATTTACAGATGCTCAAGATGACGATGATAGTGATTATACATTAGAAGATGAAGTGACGGTTCCAGAAGTGTTACGGAGATCCAGTAGAGCGCCAAAAAAAAGGGTGCTTGACGACTATGTGACTTTTGCGTGCACTGCGGATATTATGAACCTAGACGATGACCCCTGTACGATATCTGAAGCATTATCGAGACCGGACAAGGAGAAGTGGAAGGAAGCCATGTTGGAAGAAATGGACGCATTTCGGGAAAACGACGCATGGGAGTTAACGAATCCACCAGAAGATGGTCGCGTAGTGCAGTGCAAGTGGGTGTTCAAAAGAAAGAGCGGAGACGAAAGTGAAGTGCGGTACCGAGCTAGGTTGGTTGCAAAAGGTTTCACGCAACGACAGGGAGTTGATTATGACGAAACTTTTGCACCTGTAGTTCGTCACTCAACTTTAAGATTGTTAGTAGCTCTTTCGGCTCAATTAGATTTATGTATCAATCATGTAGATATAAGTACAGCATTCCTGAACGGAGTTCTCGAGGAAACCGTTTTCATGAAACAGCCCGAGGGTTTTGAGGTACCAAATAAAGAAAACATGGTGTGTAAATTAAAGAAGGCTATTTATGGGCTTAAGCAATCCTCCAGAACCTGGAACAGGAAAATAGACATTGTATTGACTTCATTAGGTTATAAGAAATCAGATCTAGAACCTTGTCTGTATATTAAAAAGGGTAAAAATAATTTTTTAACCATTATTGCTTTATATGTTGATGACCTTTTTATATTCTCAAACAATTCAATTGAAAATGAATGTTTAAAAACAGAACTTGGTTATAAATTTAAGATTAGAGATTTGGGCGAGGCAAAACAATGTCTAGGAATGCGTATTATTAGAAATAAGGATACTGGCTCGATCACTTTGGATCAAGAACAGTATATAAACAAGATTCTACAAAGGTTTAACATGGAAAATTGTAACCCAGTTAAAACACCTTTGGAAATTAATATGTCTTTTAGTAGTGAGATTAATAAAAATTGTAAACCACTTCCTTATCAACAGTTAATAGGCAGTTTAATGTATTTATCAGTTCTCACTCGTCCAGACATATCATATAGTGTTAGTTTCTTAAGTCAATTTAATAATTGTTATGATGAATCACATTGGATATGTGCTAAACGTGTTCTTAGATACTTACAAGGTACTAAAAACTATTGTTTAAAATTTAAGAAGGGAAATGTAGAATTGGAAGGTTATGTTGATGCTGATTGGGCAGGAAACGTACAAGATCGAAAGTCTTATACTGGATTCATTTTTAAACTTTGTAATTCTGCAATTTCCTGGGAAAGCAAAAAACAGCCGACTGTGGCCTTATCAAGTACTGAGGCAGAGTACATGGCATTGTCGGAAGCTTCAAAAGAGGCTATCTATTATAGAAATTTGTTACATGAGCTTTTAGGTTTTTTGAATTGTATAGAAATTTTTAACGACAGCCAAAGTGCTCAGAAATTGTCAGTAAATCCTATGTATCACAAGAGAACCAAACACATTGATGTACGACACCACTTTGTTCGTGAAGCGGTCGTGAATGGTTCGATTAAAATTTCATATTTACCTACGTCAGAAATGATTGCTGACGTATTAACAAAAAGCCTACGTTCCAGTAGACATAATAAATTCTTGTCAAATTTAGGTTTAGTAAAAAATTATCAAATTTGATATAGTGGGGGTGTTAAATATATATATATCAAATTTGAAAGTTCCCGCTGTGCTCTGCCAGCGCCACCGGATATGTATGTGTGTAAACATTACTTGTATGCATAAAGTAAAATACAAAAATATATATAGGCCAGTCTGTGCTGAAACTCGAAGAGTGTTTTATTTAACTTTACGATAACATTTGTTTGCATCTGTGGAGTCGCCATTTTTCTAATTAACTACTAGCAATGTATCCTTTAACGGAAGTGTTTTTTTTACCCGTTTCATATAATCAAAGAGCAACTTTTGGCTACGCTGCATTTCTTTTTGCACACTTCTGTAATACTGAGTGTTAAACACCTTTTTCACTTTATGAACTTTGGACATTTTTAATTTTAATTTTATTTATTAAACGATCACTATGCATGCGTACGGCGTTCTTTGGTTACTAAAACAAACAAATCCAAACCCAATTTAGACACACACTGGAAAAAAATGTGTGTTAAATGTGTTCCTTCGGAACCTAATGCGCCCGCCCCACACACTTTTGAAACAAACCAGACACCATGAATCTAAAATGCAGCCAAATGGGAACTTTTGCGTCCACTTAACTCAGTTTGGTAACAAACCGGAAACAGATTAGCAAGGTACAATATGGAAACATTGAGTCAACTAAGTGTCGACCATAATGAGCCCGAATTGTGTTGCTGTTTCCAAGAGGACACAAAAGCGATGCAAATTAGGCACATGTTTCTAAAATAGTGCTACTTGGACCCATACTTTTTTGGACACAATAGATCTAAAAGGTGTCGACACAAAGGAGCCACAAATTTGAAGAATGGGCACAGTTTCCATTTAGGCATAAGTTTTCTGATTTGAGTCGAAACAATTTGGAAACAAAAAGTGTCGTGCTCAAGTTCGGGCACAAATTGCTGCTTGGGTCCAAGTCACGAATTGCAACTTTAACTCAGAGATCAAGTTATGCACGAAATCGACAACATTATTTTTAAAGCCAAAAGTGGATTTTAACAATATAACTTTAACTCAATTCAATTATCTCCAAAATTCTCGAAATCTATCGAATCATCATTCCAACTCATTGACTGAAACACAGGGTTCTCACTCTTTCCCCTTTTCACCACCTAACTATTCCCACTCATCTGGATCTTCTTATCCTTCTTCCCCATATATACCTCCTTATTCTCAAAGTGACTCTTCTCACCCTGCATCTCCTTACACTGAAAATAACTCTCAATCACCTATTATGCAGTGTCAAAATAAACCACAAAACGAAATTGAAACCGGTTCGCCAAATGTTCGAAATTATGTAAGTGGCTTTAATCCTGGAGAGTAAAATGTTGCACCTAGTTATTCGTTTACGTCTGAATATTTATTTTGGTTATTTATCATTTTGATTATTCTAATGTAGATTAAGTTTTATTTTGTGACAATGCGATAATTTACTCTTACCTAACCCACTTTGTGTTGATTTTTGATTAAAAGAATAAACATGTTTATTTTTTATCTATTTTTTTTTTCTAATCACTGTCATTAAAAGTTGTTCGACCATTTTACGTTTTTATATGAAACAAAAGAAAACAAAACATAGAAATAATATACAGGGTGACTTATCGAAAACAAAGCAAACTAAATAATTCACAGAAAAATAAATAAGAATCAAATTTGAGGTTCTAACTACTTTTTCTAAAATACTTGGAGTAGTTTAACTCGCATATTTGAAACCAAAAAAATAAAACAAAAACAATAATTATTTATGATATGAGTGCTAAAAGTGGCATTTTATTTTGTGAGAAGGGAAGTCTGGGTCAAACAAAATAAAATCAGTTTTAGCACATACCGGATGTCTCTCAGTTGTGGCTGGCCAATATAACTTTTTTGTTTTCAATCATATAAAAACGAAATTTGGAAGTTACATAAAAATGAATTTTTTATATATCACTCAACATT